GACGAAGTGGATAAAGATGGAGAATAATGACCTGGTTTCCTTCTCTGCTCCCTTCTTTCTAAAGCCTGTGTTATTTGTCATCAGTATGATCGTATATTTATTGAAATGCAAGGACTCTTTTACTCCCTTAATTCAAAATAAATGGACACCATCAGACTCACAGCGACATTAAGAAGAAATCACATGACATCTAGAATGAACAGCGTTCATCTACACCAGGGGTGTCGAACTCTGGTCCTCGAAGGCTGCAATCCTGCAAGTTTTATCATCAAGCTCTGCAGAAGCCTGATAACGATCCTGATTATTTGAATCAGGTGTGTTGGAAGAGGGAAACATCCAAAACTTGCAGGATTGTGGCCCTCGAGGACCAGGATTCGACACCCCAGATCTACTCTCTTCGTGGGTCCACATTTGTTTATGCTTACTGACACTTTGTAATGCAAATAAAGCAGTAAAGAAGATTGAATCCGTTAGTGAGGCATTGTGTAATAAATATCAATGGGAATAAATATGGACAATATGTATAAAGTTTGAAATATTCAAGTACATTGTTTAAAATTATTGAAACTCATTTCTATGAAATATTTGTTTATCTTGAAAAATGCTAGCTGTTGTTATTTTAAAATGTCAGTTTATGGAAAAACTTTTAGAGTCATGAGAAAATTCAGTTCAACTTCAACTAAAGAGACCTAAAGAAAAAAACAACAACAAAAAAAAAACTACTAAAACTAAACAGACCTAAAGAAAATAACAACAACAACAAAACAACAAAAAAATAAAGAAACCTAAAGAAAAAAACAAACAAACAAAAACAAATAAATAAAAGAGACCTAAAGTTGTTTAAAAAATAAATAAATAAAAAATCAGCAAATGATACGTTGAATTAAATTAATGTGGCCACCATCATATATTATGATAAAGTCAGTACATTTTTAAAACTCCGACTGTGATTGGCCATCAACTCATTTAGGTCGAAGCTCCGGCCAATCACATTGCAGTGACTGAAGACTGAGCTGAAAGCTGAAATTTTGAAACACACACATAAAAAAAGGCCATTCTGGAAAATAACAATCAAAAAAAATCTGTCTTTATTTAATTGTCAGCAGTGAGACAAGAATTGACTTTTAAGCTTTTAAAAGATAAATTGCTGAAAATTAAAATCCTAATTAAATTGGCTTCTATCACCACACGATTGTAAAGTTTGCAACTGAACACCTCAGCAGGCGTCCTCACCCACGAGCTCGCTTGTAAATTCTGATTTCACAGCAGAGCTAGATAGGATTATACCGATGTGAGCGCAAAGTGTGTGAGTGTGTGTCGAAGCAGTCGTGAAAGGTCGGCCGTTTGTTATGTGTGTACGCGGAAGAGCTTCAGCTGCTGCCGGACATCAAGAGGCTGGCTGGCAGGTCCGAGTCGCAGCAGGGTCAGCCGGCTTTTTATAGGAGCAGTCATTTGAAGACGGAGAGGGTGAGAAGCCAGCTTCACATGGCCTCCGATCAGCAATTACATAAACACAGCATGCAACATAGCAGCAGATAGCCTCAGAGTGAACATTCGGAGTTCCCCCTTCTCATCTGAGAGCCGCATACTGAAGGGCTCAGTAGTGTTCAGAAAGTAAACAGATAGTCGGCCGTCAGATAGTCTGGAGGCTGGAGAAACGGGATTGTGAGTAGTTTAAATGACAAAAATGGAATCTGGAGTGAGTCAGTTTAAAATAGTTTAGTAGCCTGCCTTAAAAACTATATTGTCATAGTGCCTTTGAGCGAGACAATGAGCCCTACATGCGTCAGTAAAAAGCAACTTGATGGAGTCAGTTGGGAAACCAAAAGGTGTCTTTCAAGGAATTACAGAAATTCCAAAACACAGTTAGTTTATATTTGAGTCATTTTCCCTCCTTAGAGCAGATATTACTTCTGTGTAGAGAGAACATTCACTGTTTGCAAGAATACAAAAGGTTGAAACTAAATTTTAGTGTGAGAGAACACATGGTTGGCTTGGTGATACCTTAAAGATTAATTGCTGTACAAGTCCATTTACTAAATACCCCAATGGTATGGAAGTCTAATCACGTCAAAACAAATTGGGCAGTGGTTCGTTTGCAAGAGCAAAATGTAAGAGAGCACAATGACAGAGTTGTGAAAGAAATTCTAAATGCAGCCAACGTTTTGAACCTACAATAGAAACTGTCACTACATTTGACAGAATCAAATGAAACAGAAAATGTATGGAGACCAAAAGTGTGCAAAAATACATTATTTACAAAATTAATAATACATTTTTAGGACTGTGTCATGATGTAAGTTTGGTGTGAGAGGACATGGGATACCTTAAATAGCCAACTTGAATTGTTGTACAAGTCTTTCTGTTCAGTACCCCCAAAGTATGGAAGCCTATTCATGTCAGAAAAAAAGTGGGAAATTCTGTCATTTAACAGATATTACTTCTGTGTAGAAAGAACGTTTATTAGCAAGAATACAAATGTTTAAATTTTAGTGCGAGAGAACATGTGGCTGGATTGGTGAAATGCCAGAGTTGAATTGCTATGTGGGTCTTTCTGTTGAATACCCCAAATGTATGGAAGCCTATTAATGTCGAAATAAAGTGGCTAATCTGCCCGGGAAAAATCTAGTGCACAGGTTTGTCTGAGCCAGGATTAAACTAGCAGAAAATAAATGTAAGCAATGTTTTTGACCTTTAAAAGTAAACAATGTCACTTAATTTGATGGAATCTAATCAAAGTTTTGTTGAAGTGAAAGCTGTAGAAGTTACAAAAATGTGCCAGAACAACATGCCAGAAGAGATCTTGCTTCTCTCTGGAGAAAACTTCAATTTTCACAAAATGTTGAAACTAAAGTTAGATGTAATATAGCTGACTTAGTAATACCTTCAGTGGCAGACTTGAGATGTATGGAATATTAATGTCACAATAAAGTGGACAGCAAAAACAAACATACAATTATGAATATAACAGATGTTATGACCCTACATATGAAACCTCCATCCATCCATCCATCCATCATCTATACACCGCTTAATCCTCACTACGGTCGTGGGGGGCTGGAGTCTATCCCAGCTGACTTAGGGTCAAGGCAGGGGACACCCTGGACAGGTCACCAGTCTATCACAGGGCCACACAGGACAGACAATCAAGCACACTCACATTCACACCTACGGACAATTTAAAATCACCAATTAACCTGTGCATGTTTTTGGACTGTGTGGGATAAAGCCGGAGAACCCGGAGAGAACCCACGCTGCACGGGGAGAACATGCAAACTCCACGCAGAAAGATCCCGGGTGTCCTCATGGGGATGCGAACCGGCAACCCTCTTGCTGCGAGGCAACAGTGCTAACCACCGAGCCACTTTACAGCCTACATACGAAACAATGTTCCATCAAATCAAAGTTGTCCGGATGCCCAAACTCAATAATAATAACACATAATTACATATAATAATGTGTTTATAACCATGTTAGTGGTGTAAAAGGTGTGTTTATCTGTCCATTACATTGATCCAGACTAAATATGTCAACAATTAGATGACTTAAACATGAAAACTTGGTACAGCCTTCCAAAGGATGAAGCCTAATGACTTTGCTATCCCCCTAGCTTCCCATCTCATAATGGGTGAATGAGAAACACATTGTAAAAGCTGATTGGATAAAAGCGTTATATAAGTGCAGACCATTTACCAGACCATTTTATTTTAAAAATGACATTGGTCCAACTCTTTTTGTGAGAAAGCAGAGAATGTTTAACAGATTAAGAGAATGTGTTTCTATCTGGTTTGCAGAAATTTATTGATTTCATCAGTCTGAAGGGTTAAAACTGAATAGTGTGGAGTTTGGAATCAAGGTCACTGAGTTTGACACAAACACACTAAAAGGCAGCATTGTGAAAACATCAATTGGTCAAAATTGAAGACGAAAACAAACCAAACTTAATTATAACATAATGTAATTATATAATCCAATGAACTGTTGAAGGTCAGCTCAGTGTTACTTCATCCTGCAACGGCAAAGTTCATTCCAGGACGTTTTTATTCAACCTAAGCAATGTTTTGAGCATTACTTTTTAGAGATTGCATAATATCATAGAGACAGTATAAATGTATGTGAACTGCAGCGTAAGTCCTGAATATGCAGGCTTTGTCCCTTATTTACCTCTGTTCAATGTAAGTACAGAGTAGTTAGTGTGTATGGGTTTCAAAATAAGGCCATCTCCTCTTTATTTTTAAATTAAATTAATTAAATAAAATGCGGGTTGTAGTATGTAGGGTTACTTACTGCAGGATCAGTAACAGTAAATGCAGCAGGAAACAACATTTCTCAGTCTGAACCATAGAACCTGGCTGATGAAGCCAAACAATAAAAACCGGGTTGTCTGCAGATCTTCTTGCTTTCTTCTTTCTTATTACTGCTTCTCAGCTGAAGAACAGCAAACTTCCAGAGAGCAAACTTTCCTGCGTACACAGTGTTAAAACCCTGCACACGTTTCCAGTGTTGTCGGCCCACTGACTGCGGTATCGTTTCATACGTATGAACCAGCAGGGACCTTCTCCACCTTCTAGTAGGGTCCATTTAATAGTGGTGCAGCCTTGCACTAATTCAGCAAACTTTTACCGTGAAGGCTTGAGTGCCGTTTCTGGTCGTTCTCTGAGTATATTTTTTGGCTTTAATCCTGTTTTGAGTTTCGATTTCAGTTGTGTTTTCAGTTGGTTGAGTTTATGCAGCAAAACTACTTGGGTTAGGTCTAGAAAAGGATCATGGATCATAGAAAACCAGAAAACTGTGTTTGGGCAATGTTGATGGAAAGTATGTACAAATTCAGTTCAATTCAGTTCTGTTTATATAGCATAGCTCACAACAGATGTCATCTCACCGCGCTTAGCATCGTAAGGTGAAGACCTTACAATTTTAAACAAAGAACCCAACAATCCAAAGTTGCCTTTGGATTCCCTCTGAGCAAGCAGTCAGCAACGATGGGAAGGAACCAAATAAAAAACCCAATGGGAGGCTCTGGAAAGGCGGCCATCTGCCACGACCAGTTGGGGTGACAGTGGGGAATGGGGGGTGAGAATAGTTAATCAAATCAAAGCACCTCCAAAATCCAGCAAGGACTGCTTCAATGACAACTCTTCCAATGATGAATTATAAAGAGATGGATGACAAAGAAACAAGTCAAGCATTTATGTTCATGGATGTCCATGAACCCCTGGGTGGATGACGACGTCTACATAACAGACACCCTTGTGCGCCCTTGTAGTCTTGCAGAGAGGGAAAGCATGAATTGGCCTTTACAAAACTCTGTTTTCTTGAATTTCTTGGCGATGACTCCACCAGATGTTTTACATATGCTTATTCACATGACCACAGCGACTTCATCAGGACTACCTTCTGCTTACCATCCATCTGAATGGTCGATAATGTGCCTACTATAAGGTGGAGGAGGTGCCAGCTTCATACAGTTTTTATCCATTAAGACTAAAACAGCAAACAACTCACTGAATTCTCTGTTCGTGTCACCAAAAGGGAAGCATAATGTGAAAAAAATGTAATAAAAAAATTCCCTGACTTATACAGTGTTATTTCAGGAATAAGAGGAACTGACAGCCTCCACCCATTTGCTGACTATCAGACATTGGCCAGGAAACACAGTTTATTTGTTGAGAGCGAAGACACCCAGTGAAAGACAAACAACGGAACACGCAACGAGTTCCACCGAGGCGACAAAGAAGGAGAGACTGGGATTACCCACTGGCTTCCGGTGAAGAGTCTTCTAAGCGTCCTCTAGAAATGGCTTCTGGAATTTTAAAAGCAGAAATTGACTTTTCTTGTCCAATCTGTCAAGACATCTTCAACGATCCTGTCGTGCTGTCATGTAGCCACAGCTTCTGTAAAGACTGTCTGCAGCGCTGGTGGTCAGAGAAGACGATTCATGAATGTCCAGTTTGTAAAAGAAGATCTTCAAGGAGTGACCCACCGTCCAATTTATCACTGAGGAACGTGTGTGAAGCTTTCTTACAGGAACAACAGAAAGCTTCTTCAAAGCCTGAGGCTCTCTGCAGTTTGCACTCAGAGACTCTGAAACTCTTCTGTCTGGATCATCAGCAGCCGGTGTGTGTCGTCTGTCGAGACGCAAAAACACACAAGAACCACAGATTCAAACCCATCGATGAGGCTGCGAAGGACTACAAGAGAGGACTCAGCAGTCGTCTAAAACCTTTACAGGACAAACTGGAGCGTTTTCATGAGGTAAAACTCATCTGCGATGATTCAGCGAGACGAATTAAAGAACAAGCACACCTCACAGAGAAACTAATACGGGAAGAGTTTGAAAAGCTTCACCAGTTCCTCCAAAAGGAAGAGGCTGCCAGGATCACTGCACTGAGGAAGGAAGAGGAGCAGAAGAGTCAGATGATGAAGCAGAAGATTGAGGAGCTCAGCAGAGAAATATCAGTTCTGTCAGAAACAGTCAGAGCCACAAAGGAGGATCTGAGAGCTACAGACGTCTTTTTCCTGCAGAACTACACAACCGCAGTGGAAAGGATCGAGCAGCGCTCCCGAATGAATAATCCACAGCTGGTCTCTGGAGCTCTGGTTGACGTGGCCAAACACCTGGGCAACCTGACCTATGATGTCTGGAACAAGATGAAGCATAAGGTCTCCTATTGTCCTGTGATCCTGGACCCCAACACTGCAGAACCAAACCTTAGAATGTCTCAGGATCTGACAGTTGTGATACGTCAATACACAAAGGGTTGGGCTCCAAGAAATCCAGAGAGGTTTGAGGGCTATCTCACAGTTCTGGGCTCGGAGGGCTTTGACTCAGGGACTCACAGTTGGGTGGTTGACGTTGGAAATAATGCAGACTGGGCAGTGGGTGTGATAGGAGAGTCTGTCCAGAGGAAGGCAGAAATGCCGACTGGATGCTGGAGTGTTTGGTTCCATGGTGGTAAATACAGAGCGTTCTCACCAACAGTGAAAGACAAAGCTCTCTCAGTGAAAAAGCCGCTGCAGAGGATCAGAGTGCATCTGGACTGCAAAACGAAGAAAGTGACATTTTCTGATCCAGATACAAACACAACAATGCACACATTCCCAGTGACACTTACTGAGAAGCTTTTTCCCTTCATCAACACACAAAATGCTGTTCCACTGGAGATATGCCCAGTCAGAGTGTCTGTGAAGTTAGACGAAGGTGATTTTGTTACCAGAAGACGGTTATTAGATGGATTAGAAGGTCTAACCTCTGCTATTGTGTCATTTGTTTTTGGAGAAATATAGTAAGAGAACATCCACTGTTCTGTTTTAATCATGAGTGTCTATATGTGATCTCGCTGGTAGACACCCTCTACCAGCTGTTTCAAAAATACACACTTGTGTAAAATTTTGTGTAAAAGATGTAAGTTTAGAGCATTTTAATGAAAGTCAAGGTTTGATTTGTTTAATTTGAGTTTGCACGTTTAACCCTAATGCACCCATTTCTCACTGTTTTGAATTTGCCACCTTTGATGATGATGATGATGATGATGATGATGGTGATGGTGATGGTGATGATGGTGATACTGTTGATGGTGATGGCAATACTGGTGATGGTGATGGTGATAGTGATAGTGATGATGATGATGATGATGATGGTGGTGGTGATGG